GGGGGGGGGGGGGGGGGGGGGGGGGGGGGGGGGGGGGGGGGTACATCGTCATAACCACTCTATTTGATATATATGGACCATTTGGATCAAACGCTAAGCAGCCCGGTGGTCTCTGTATGCTCGGATAGAGGGGTGTAGGACTGCAGCCCTCCGATGTAAGCAGAGGATGGCTCAAGGGGGAGTCGGTTGCCCACACCGAGGCTGACTAGATGGGTGCTTGCCTTGGTAGTAGTTGGATTAATTCAGCCTGGTTCGTGCTTCGGCGCGCTCATCACTTTGGTGTGTGTTGCTGCAGGTCGTGGCGAGGATGGAGCTCTTGTTGTGTAGATACGGGCTCGTTTGGGACATGCCACCTACTGCAGTGTACAACTAAGTTGAACAGCGTGCAAACATAACCTGTGCTTGTGTGTTAGGTATTATAGGGCTTACCCGGCACCTGGATTTCGCTTCTTCGGGCATGAGGACGCTGTCAAAATTGATGCACTCTCGTCTGTCTTTCATGGGAAAGACGCTTTGCATCTAGTTTGGCCACGTGCGATGCCATGTCATGTCTGACGACGCCCTATCACGGTTCAAATCCCCTGTCGTGTGCCGGGTGTTGGTGTCGCTGTGTCTTGCATAGGTCCGCTTGGCTGGCCACTGGGTTCCCAAGGGCGTGCACGAGACTATCGACCAGGACTGTAGGTATGAATAGCCCAACTCAACTCAACTCAACATGATGCCCCACGCTCCGCCTGAATCATCCAACAATATCACACGTTGAACCATTCAAACACGCACCGTACAATGTCAAACAAGTTTGTCTATTAGTCTACAGTGCGAGTATGGTGCGTCGTACTCTTTGCGCTATTTGTAGCTGCCAGCCGCCGCCGCCTCCGCCAGTCTGGTGCGTGGAACTGTGAAAATACAGTAGACAGTACGTCCGTTTCGTTCGGGATAGCCCAGAGTGTCCATGATTGAAAGACTCCCATCGAACGTCTGCCTGCGCCGACGACGTTGAGAACAGCTTGCCGTTCTTAACCCCGATCAAGGCATCGAGATTCCGACATCCCGACGCATGCGATGATGCCGGCTTCGTCTTGGCCATGTCAGGTCGCGGATTGTGCGCGCCTCCTCAGGCGTGAGCGCCCGGCGCCTGCTGGTGCCTGTTGGAGGTGCCGGCGCCCAGAGGAAGTTCGTTTCAGGTATGGAGCATACGCTGCTTGTATGTAGATACCCTAGACGTTGGTGCGTGAAGATTTTGTCACGTACTATGCAAGGTCATGTTGAGCAAATGACTGGTCCCTTCGAAACCGGTGATCATGGCAGACTCCTTCAATTGCCATAAGTTGTATTTCGCGCTGAGTTTTAACGCAATCGGATCAGTTATTGCATGACTGTATTTGCCGTTCCACAGGCTTGATTGAGTCAAGGCCGACACGAATGGTTGGACGATTTGCCGCAAACAGTAGCAGCCAGTGGCGAACTGTGCTTCCGCAGATCGATGTCCTTTCGTCCAACACCCCGCTCTGAATGGGTAGATAGGTTGTACCAGCAACGAGGGTAAATTGTCTGCTGGTAACGCGCCCCTTGTCTGTCTATCCGACTCGCGTCCCGCCTTCCGACCTCTGTATGCGTCAGGACCTCAAAGTATGAGAAGTCCATTCACCATGAGCCAACGGGGTTTCACACTCTAGATATCCGCCATGGACGCCAGAAAGGCCGAATACTTGTCCCTCAAACGCCAAGAACTGTGTGGCCCACGCTTTGCTTGTACGCAACACTCACACGAAACCCAAAGATGGATGCCGTATCGATGCATGGTATTTGCAAACCTCGCCACGAAATGACACGCGACAGGCTTCGTGCGCAACTTGCTGGAGCCGCTTAAGGATGGCCGGGTAAGGCTGCTGCTCAACGCTGGAGACCACGCCAGCATGCAGAAGTCCCTCAAGAAGTGCTTGGAGGAACTAGGAATCGGTTTCAAGGTGATTGGCCCGCCTTCTTGCCTTGCTCTTGCTTGCACTGCTGTGTCCCCTTGAGGGAGTGCTTCAAGAGGGGGTGAGCTCCTTCAATTGTTGCTTGAAGGTAGCAGCAGCAACGAGGTAGGGCCAGCAACAGGGACAAAGACGCTGCAACAGCAGAGCTATCAGCTCAAACGCAGAACATCTGGATTGGGGATGTAAACTAGTGTTGGAGATGTGTGGAATGGGATGACTCCCGTTATGACAAGAACAAGTACGACGGACGCAGAAACGGCTCGTATTGCTAGAGATAGCCCTTTCCCGACATCCGATGCTGTGGCGGTCTCTTGTCCCTTGTCTCCGTGCGCCAGGTGATGAGCGATGGAGTTCCCTTCGCAATAGTTTTCTTGGAGTACAACATTATTCACTAATTTCTCTTGGCCCCGGTGTTGCCTATCATTTGTTTCCGCGCTTCATCGTGATTCGTCGGTTGTTCGGCGATAATTGAACCTTATACTCACTTTCTCATGATCAGGTAATCAGCGATTTTGATGAGATGAAGTCTCTCATCGCACGCTTGCACCTGTCGATTGAAGAGGGAGAGGATGATGACAGCGAAGCCTTCATGAACAGGTCAGTTCTTTATGTTCTACCATCTCTTTGAATGCATTGCATGGTACTTGTCGTTTGTATAGTTGGTGGTATGCCTGAGTATGGCCATGAGCGTAAGACGACTCCTGCAACGCATTGATGGGGACTAGACAGCTCGCCACGACTGTAACGCTGTTGAACTATTTCATACCGCTTGCCTGTTCGCACTCATCACGTAGCCTCGCGTGCATGCTTGAGTATTGCAAACGAACACGATGGTGGCATTTTCCTCGAAGTGGGTGAACGTCCAAGCGCAGTCGCTGTACAACGATATAATAGTATGCATTGGTGTAGGCCTGCTCGGCGTAAGTGTTTGGAAAACTGGTAGGGCGTCTTCGACAAACGATTTGCCCACGAGCGCTGTTGTATGGAATGCACCGACCAAACTCTTTGGGACCGCACATGACACGTGACAGGGTGCTCGCTGCAGAGGAAGGACTCCCCCCTGTCATCATGTTCGCCTTTGACGACTATTTCCCGGCGGTGGCGGCTACCGACCTTCTGGTGAGGTCTGTTCTGAGGAGCGGTCTTGATGTTTCTCCAGCCCCTGTCGTTAGAAGCTCCGCAAAGTCGATGCCCCGCCTGCGGAGCTGCTCACCCGTCCTGGACGTGTGAGAGGGACTGTATGTACTGTATCATGGGATTGCGATATGTTGTGTGGCCAATCAAAACGCTCGGGTTCGTCCGGCTGTTCAGTGCCTTTTGTTGGTGTGGAGTTGTTCCGTCAAGGAAATTATTACACAGACGCGTGCGGTAACGGTCCGATGATTATAGCAATTGCTCCGCTCATTAGTCGCTAGTGTGGCATCCAGGGTGATCGGAAGTCAGGCTTCTTCGTGTGTCTTCTGACCGAAATACCGACGTGACATACTTCATGCATGGGCTGTAGCATGCTTTAAGTGAGCGAATTACGCGATCGACAATGTATCGACCCGTGTTGATTCAGGTGCCAGTGGCTGACATTTTGTGCTGCAAGCCGTCCGAGTTGGCGTTCTACCCGCTGCCCAAGCTCATGATCCGGAGGGTGGGGGACCATGAAGCTCACTCGGCAACGAGAGCGGTAAGTTGGCTTTTTTTTTTGTAGCAACATGCCCCTCCGTTTGGAAATATAGTGGAGATTGGGATGTTCACATTTGAATCCGAAAGGTCCATATATTTCAGAGAGCGTATACTTGCATTCCTCTTGCGCGGTGTTTGTCGAAAGAAAATGTTGCCTTGACTGTACCGGTGGTGCTTCCTGCTATAATAACAAACGTACCGCTATCGTGCTCAATCTACCGTACACCTCAAGTTGACTGGTCTACCCGGTTGAGCACCATGACATCATGGAGCGGAGTCGTTCGCCAGCATACAAGTGCTCAAGCGTATCTTGATTCACGGTGAAGTGCGTGAATCGACCTGGTGTTGATCAACTTGTCGGGCGCACACGTCCCACTTTTTGTATTTTTGTCAGGCGGAGATTGGGGATGGAACGCCGGAGGTTCGCACACTGGAGGTGAGCGTTTTGGTTTCATCGTAGGCGTTAAAACTTATTACGTGCTTGCTTTGTTCGCTGTATAAGGCTGCCGCTCAAGTCACATATCCCTGCTTTCTTGGCGAAAGAGGCCGAAGGTTGCCGGTCCAGCAGAAAATAGTGCGGTGACAGGAATGACACGTGCCATCTGGCTTTGTGCGGGCCAGGTATCTACCTGCAGTGCTGCGGTAATGATGTCCTCGTCCATTGCGGGAACGCCAAGTCGTCTGTTCAACGTCCAACGTCACTCGTCCTTCATCGAGCCCCTTACATGCCCCTCATTTGCATTGCCAATGTGTGCTATTGGTGTGTGACACGCAGTCCGCCGCGCACTACGTGGAGATGCTCTGCTCTAAGGAGCGCCCGGACCTGTTCGTCAGCATGAACCAGCAGATCATTAAGAACCTCAGCATCGGCATCTATGACGGCTGCAAGGTTGCTGTTGAGCTCGCCGCGGAACTGGCTAAGCTCTGAGGCTGAGATGCGATATATGAGACCCTATCCTAATACGGAATTTATTCGGGGAACGACGCGCCTCCGTCTGGCCAAGCAGCAGCTTTCTTCTTAACCTCATGCGCGGTCTTGTTAGTATGGCCATGGATGCTGATCCACGGGTTGGCACTACCAGACGCTGCGGTCGATACATCACCGACTGCTCCTTCGAGTTATCGGGTACAAGCGCAAGAAAGACACCTACCGGCAGCTCTCTTACGCCCAAACGCTGAAGAGGGTCGTATGCCAGAGCGTTGAAGCCACGATCCGACAGCGAGGCCTACTGTTCGCGGGAGCATTGGCAAGGCAGCCGGATGGGCGACTCCCGAAACGACTGATGCTCGGCAAACTGGCTGGGGGGGAGCAGCGACGTAGGGGGGGACAGGAACAGAACTGGCCAAAGTGTGTGCTCGACGACCTGAAGGCATTCGGGGCCGACCACGGATCTACGGAAAGCGATCCATGTTGTCTTGGAATCCCGGTACCGAAAGACACGGCACCGAAGTTAAAGTGGACGGAAGCCGCGAAGGTGGAGGGGGGAGTACCTTGGCATGCGGCGGTGCTGCAGGGAGCTGAGAGGTCCATGACCTCCTGGCACAAGGAGGAAGAAGAGGCCAGTCGACAACGGGCGCTCAAACGAAGCCACAAGTCAACAACCGATGGGGGGGGAGGGGGGCAGGAGACGGCGAGGGGACAAAGCAAACGAGAAGAGACGTTCCGAGTGGCGCGATACTTGTCGGATTGAATTTATTTTTGCCAATTCCCCCCCCCCCAACGCGGCACCATTGCACGAACCCCCCACTAGTAATGACGTACCATTACAATGTATCGCAGGTTGGTGGCCATGTTTGCGTGTTTACTCGTTCGTTAGTGGTCTCTCCACCGTGTGCCTTTCTCTGTCTCTTATTTCTTGTTATTTTCGGCCTGGTCCCTTTTTGTCTTCGTTTTCTTTTATCGTTTTCTCTTTTTTTTCTCTCTTTTTCTGTGTCAGATGGTATTGTCTCTGCTTGCGTTGTGATGTACCAAGATTGAACCAAGGGGGTGTACCTCGTTCTCTCTGGCCCGTGATGCTGACTCCTAGTCTCAGTTGTTACCTAGCATAGCGCGCAGAGGGAGCGGAGGACCCGACAATATCTGTCTTGATTTCTATTGACTTGCAAACCCCTCGGGGCCAGTTAATTTGAGTGTTCCTTTTGAGGGTAAGTTAGCCTGTGACCACGGGAATCGACCTCATGTGTCGGATCAGTACGGACATGTGAAGGTACTGGGTAGAGAGAGATCGGAACGGTTGTTAATGTGAAAAGAACAACAACAATACATTCTTTGTTGCGTGGCTATCGTGTTGTTTGTTGTCAGGTGGGCATTCGGTTTGTTTTGGAATGGTGGGCGTGCGGTGTACCCAGACTGGTTCTGGAACGCCCCTGTTCTAAAGCACCGCACGCTTCATGCCGGATTCCTACGTCTGAAGACAGACAAGGGAAAATAGATTTGAATATTGCGACGGTGGGAGCGCGATCGCCCAACCCAACCACTTCAGCATGGGGGGGTTGTCCAGTAGATATATTCTAGAACGAAAGCTCTTCAAGTTTTCAGCGTCGACTCACTGCTGTAGAACCCGCAACCTCGAATTGGGAGACAAGGATGCGAGTGAAATAACGCGTTCATGGGGAACTCGGCCCGGTTGTCGACAACCCTGTACAAGGGTAGGCTGACAGGGTTGCATGCAATGAGTCATGCGTGGGGACAAGAGGTGTGTAATAATGCATGGTTCTGCTGCTGTGCTGCGCGAGCTTGTGTTTGTGTGGTCTGGTGACCCTCGCGTGGTAGGGGACGAAAATCACTCACCCCCTGCTATTTCGAACCGTTCAAGCACAGGGAGCAGACTGAACTCCCGGTTTTTGAAATCCCGCCGCACCGGGCCCGAGTTGCATCTGTGGGTTTATGGTTTGCTCCCTTGCCCTATTTCTCTTACAGCTAGCTGTGTGCGAGGCAGCAGAGAGCATGTAAGCACACACACCTCAGAGGACTCTAGACTTTATATCCAGCTGGCAGTTCCATCATGATCCCCACGGTATTATTACCGGTGGCGGCAGACGCTGTTGCCGGCGCCTGCAGCTCGCGGGAGGAGGTGCTGCACAGGGCAACTTCCTCTAGCATGACGGCATTCCACGACAACCCCATCACCCTGGCTAACCTTTGTGAAGCAAGAAGCAGCGGTGACGCAGACCGCTTTCGATTGTTCTCGCTCGACGAAGGCGTTCAGGAGCTAGCGTCGTTGAAGGATGCCGGGGGTGGGTTGTTGGTAGAGTGCTCGACGGCCGCAGAGGGGCGGGATCCCTCGGGCCTGGCCGAGATTTCGAGGAGAAGCGGGTTGGGGATTGTGCTGGGCGCTTCGTGTCAACAGGTATGGGTGTCGTGTGCACGATGCGGTTCATGTCTTTGTAGCAGTGCCTAAAAACAGAGGTCCAATCTCCACCTGTTGCTGAACGTGTGGTCGTATTTTTGGTAAGGAGCGCGGAACAGTTCTTCGACGATGATTCTCATTCCAGCGCCGCCCACGATTTCACGCCTTTACAACAGAAACTCGGGTCACATGCCTCGCTTCATATGGAAAGCTGTGCGTCTTGCAGTTTTCGACGCTGCTATCTACCGCGCGAGAGCTGGCCTGGTTGAAGATGATAGAAAGAACACGCCGTGCGCGCCCCGAAGAAGAATGCATCTAACATGGAGTGCGAGTGTATTTTATAGTCTACTGGTAGGGCCCCGGCAATAAGATGTTTCGGCAGTGCATGCTGCGCAAACGTTGCTGCTCCCAAGGCTACAGTTGATCTTATCCGTGTTGCGACCCATCCCTGTGTGTTCTTATGAACCTTCCAGACCAACGGGACAGCCCAACACGAGGCATCACCAGAAACAATTCGCATGGAGCTCGAGCACCAGCTTCGGTTCGGGGAACACGGAACCTCCTCTGCCGCTTCTTCTTTTGCACCTTCCCCTGCTGGCGCTGCCGTGGCGGAATCTGCCAGTGCGCCTGCCAGGATCCAGGCCGGCTTTCTCCTTGTCAAGCTGAACAGCAGTTGTTGCAGCAGTCAAGCCGCTGTTCGCGTAGAGACGTCAGCAGTGACAACTACAGCGCGGTCTCCTGCTCACGACACCCACGGGGGACTTGGGAGAACCGCTGCCATCGAGCTGGAGGGTGCGGCAATGGCGCAGCAAGCCACGGGAGCACCGCTCATGATAGCATGCTCTCATTTCGTTCGTTGGCCAATGGTGTTAGCCGCCCTGGTGATCGCAACCACACACTGGGGAAGCTCCCAAGATGGCACCGCTGCTGCTGCTCCTGCTGCTGCTGCTCCGAGTAGGAAGGTTATCGTGGCAGGGATGCATGGGGGCGTGTCTCAATCTCTCCAACACCAAGCTTCGCTGCTGAGCAAAGGGATTGTACTGTGCTTCGACTGTTTCGGGAGGGTGGAGTGGTTGCCTGGGCCGAACTACTACCCTTCGGACGAGGAGAGCGCGGTGCGGATTGCGGAGCTCGTTCGTCATGGATTTGCAGATCGGATAGTCTTGTCGTCTGGAGTGTCAAGGCGCTTTCATCTGTCCAGGTGGGAAGCTACCCCAGAGACACATGCAGACAGACGTAACGATGCGGTTGATTCCTGGGAGGCTCTTATTCTGGCTAAGGAGAATAGTTCAAGTAGCATCTTCCACGCGGCGTGCAAATTAAATATTACAGTAGTCGGTGATCGCCGCTCTCTTCTAGTACAAGGCGTTCACAGTCCAATCGGTGTGTAAATGGGCAACACACGTTGTTTTTCGTCTACAGCCGGGTGAGGTCAGACATCTTTGCTGCCCTTGCCTGCGGTGTCCGTATGGACCCCCGCTGCCTCCACCTCTTGTCCCCCATAAACCGTGGAGCCACCTCCAGTTGGAGTTCCTGTAAACGCCAACTTTATAGCATGCAACCACAAGTGTTCCTGTTGGTCATGTGTTCTATGAGGTATACACCGCACCACCAGTGTGTGAACCCTAACCACGCGCTTGTTCATGAACCCACTCAAAGATTCGGGGGTTATGGCTACGGCCACGTTTTGCGAACGGTCCCACCACGCCTTCTACGGCTCGGGGTTAGCGCGAAAGATATCGGACTCATGACAAGGGATAACATGCTGGGCCTGCTGGACTGGTACACCCCGCCACCTCCAATAGAGATCCCGAAGGATTACTTGCCGTGCTTTTGGTGCAAGAAGCGCTTTGAACCGGTGGAGGGGGAATACTTCCATAAGTTTCAGTTCGTGTACTGCAATATCAAGGTGGGCCGCCGCAAGAGTTTTAGCACGGCATGGCATGGCGCATTACACGACGCGAGAGGTCTTTACCCCCAAGCGTTGTGATTTCCTGGAATTGTACTGCCTTCGTTGAGTTGTATCTGCCGTGGCACCGCAATAGGCGCGCGACGCGCCGCGTGACATACTGCTGTACCACGTTATTCCTGACAGTCGCATGTGGTATTTTGTGCGAGGTGCATATCGTCTACTTCATTTTTGCTGACTCGAATCTCTCTGCCTCCTCTGTGTCCACTCGTGTCTCGAAACTCCCTCCGCTGCTCAAGTGCCTGCGAGCTCATCGAGACACCGGGTTCGATGCTGATGCTTCCGCCAGTAAGTAGGGCGGCGAAACAAGGGGTCGGAATCCTTCTTGCCACGCAGGTCCTCATTTAGGTGCTGCTGTGAATAGTTAGTTGTACCGGGAATTGTTGCGAATGCGTCCATATTTCGTTGATGAACAAACAAAGAATGTTTTACAAAGCCGTGGGGTCATCGTGCCGACAAATGCTGTAGCACAACAGCTCACGTTGACAAATGAGCCAGCTGAAAGTTACCGGAAGTTGCTCCAGGTGGATGTATCATCATCCATCTAGCCCGGAGGATGATGTCCGTCAAAAGAGGCGTAGGTCCATCGGGCGGCGAAACGTAAGCGCCAAAGCGGTTCTTGGGTTAAGCTTGGCCTCACTCCAGTTTGCGGAGGCACCGTTGAAACCATGCTTTCGCAAGCGACAGCGCATGGGCCCCGCAATGAGTGGTGAGTCTACGTACGCCGCCGTAGATATCTGTCGTTCATTTTGGATCTACCGGGTTTTGCAACACGACGTAAATCGGTCGTTGCTCCGCACACCATGACATCAAAGGCATGAAATTCGCTCGAAAGGGATATCCGCAGTGGGGGGCGGGCTCCGCCCTCCCTCTTGTTTGTTGGGTCGGCACACCAGCCTTTGTGCTTCTGTCTCTCCATGGGCATGAACGATGCCCGTACATCCAAAAACACGTCGTGATTTTGTTCGTGTGCGGAATTATGCTCCAGCAGTACCGGCCAGCTGGCATGAAACACGTGTTTTCGGCGAGGCCCAGTTATACAGCAGTGCCTTGCTGCCGCGGCGATGCCGGCTGATTTGTGCTTCCCAATTCCTTACTTTCGAAGAGCATTGCAAGTTATGTTATTATTTTCACCAGTCCTTATTTTCCCACCATGGATATCGACCCTATTGAACGCGATGCCTGCATTATCCATTGTCCTTGCATGTCTGCCTACAGCTGGACTATTAATAGTCTGTATGTAGACTTATACGAGAACCTCTGCACGGTACTGCAGTAAATATACCATCGTTCGGGAGGGCGGACGAAACTCACTCGTCACGTTGTCCCGAACACTATGTCGTTGTTGCAAACGTAGGGGATCCACCCCATGTCACCCTGCTGGAATGCCACCGACCCCTCGCAACCGTCGATTGGCCGGTCAACGCCCCATGTCCCTACGGCCTGTAGCACCCTCGTCGCAGCATCTGGAGGCATGCCCAAGCTGATGGTGATGCTTTCACCGTATGCAAATATCACGTTGACAAATGGTGTGCAGCCGTAGCTCGATGCCCGATTGATGTCTCCAAGGAACAGCCAACCCCCAACTATGCCTCGCGAACACACCGCGGTTAGGTTTGTGCAACGCGCGGTCTAGCTTCGCTGGAGGGGGTTCGTCAAGACTTAGTCGGTCCTAAAGCTGCTTCATAATGCATGGTGTCCATCACGGGCGAGTTCATCATTGTCATCGCTGTCGAGATTAGACGAAGGGGTCAACCGGCCTTTTCTTTTTCTTCGTCCACCCCCACATCCGTGCGTTTCGTGTCATTGATGAGAAGTCGGGAATGTTGTACTGCTGTAGCTTGGTGACAATAAACGGACTATGACGTAGAGCGTCAACAAGCAGATGTGCTTTTTTACTCCCTCTGTCCGAGAATATAAGCAAGGTTTGGAAATCCGGGAATATAAGCAAGGTTTGAAGAATATTGACGGAAACGTGCCATTTGGGCACGGTGGACGTCGGACAACTTTGGCAAACGATCACATATGACATTGGAGAGAGAAAAAAAAAAAATCCGCTCGATGGGGGGGGGATGGTGCGTTACCATCCCCTGGTCCGGGAAAAGGCGGAATTTTGGCATACCCAGCGACAGGACGTAATATCTGTCCAGTGTGATGAAAGTACTTCGAAGAGCTAGAATTAGACATAACGCCACTTTTTGGATGAAAAAACATGGAGCATCACGAAAAGGGAGGGGATGGTTAATTATCATCCCCGTGTTCACGTCATCATAGAAAACCAACATGACCCGCGCCCCGAACCTGCTGCCTGTTTCTGCGCCTGCCCATCAGCCTCGGTAGCCAAACAACTCTACTCCATGGCAGCCGTCTCCGTTTACACAGTCCGGCGAAACCGTAATCGGCCGCCCCTTGCCCCACTGCAGCCGCTCCCTGCTACTTCTCGGTCACACGATCTACTGCATACTCCGGAGTACACCGCAACCACCTCATTCTACGCCGCCCCTGGCCCCCCTGCAGCCCCCCCTCCCTGCCCTGCAGCAGCCGCCCCTCCCTGCCCTCTTGCAGCCGCCCCTCGCCCTCGTGCAGCCCCCCCTCGCCCTCCTGCAGCCCCCCCTCGCCCTCCTGCAGCCCCCCCTCGCCCTCCTGCAGCCCCCCCGCGCCCTCCTGCGGCCCCCCCTTGCCCCTCCAGCGCCGCGAGTGCCGCCGTCCCTTTCAGCCACGCCTCGTCGGATACGGGGGAATGCGCTCTCAATCCAAGCGCCTTGAGGTTGTTGTGCAGTGTGGATTTGGGAATCCCGAGCGCCGCGGCCAGGCGGCGCTGTGTCGTGCGTTCGTTCAGCGGAATCTCAAGGAGGCGGGCACGTAGGTTCTCAATATCGATGCCCTTGCAGCCGGAATGGCCCTTGCGGTCGTTCCCAATGTACAAACTAGGATCTCCAGATTCCTCCCGCTTCTCGTGCTTCTGCCAAATCCTCTTTATGGTCTCCCAATGGCACCCGTACTTCTCCGCGGCTCTGTGGTACGAACCATGCTGCCGAACCCCGTCTTCGCTGTCGGCGAGAAGGTAGCGTACCACCTCTTCTCTCTCCGAAACGTTGAAATTCTTGCGTTTGAGCCCCTGGGAGGCACTCCCAGCAGCAGACATGTCCCGCCAGCAGACGGGAAGGCGTTTGACCGGGGCTCCAAAGTTGGGGTGGTGAAATCGGGCGTGTTGTGCTGGGGTGCAACACACTTTGTTGAGGTGGTGTGAAAAGAGCAGCGGTTCTGCGCGCTGCGCGCCAGTGCGGCGGAACCAGAAAAAAAAACCGTTCGGAAAAAGAGTTCGGCAGACACGAGTTCTATTGCTTTTTGTCCAAACCTTGCTTATATTCTCGGACAGAGGGAGTAGAAAGTAAGCATGACCTCACAGAAATTCTACCCGTTCGAGATATAACCTCAGTTGGAAGTGATGTCGTGCAGTCTTTTCAGTAAGTGGATTGAAACCAACTGGAGACTTGGCTTATTTTGAGTTTGTGTTAGCCTAACACTGACTCTTCAGTAATGCCAGTTGGAGCGAACAACAAAAGCATAGGTATTTTTTGTTTTGCCTCTCAGAGGGAGAGGAGAGAAAGACGGAGGGAGGGGCGTGGCTCAGCGAATACGAGGGTCTGTCCCCGGTTGGTGAGGAAAATGTGAAACGAACGTGGACCCCGCTTTGCTAAAAAAAATGTTAGTAGTTTAGCGTTGTAGGTGTAGGTGTGGTAGGCAGAGAGGCAGAGGCAGCACTGCAGGCAGCAGGCCGCATGAACAAGCGCAAAAACGGCCTTTCCAGACGAACAGGTTATCGAGAGTGCTGATTGGCCGAGCCTTACTGGTCATCATCTCTCTTGCGGGGCCCCCTCGACTGCTCTGAGTTGCACACGACACGTGGGTGACCTGAGCTGCGCATTATTGTCTTCGGCTCGCGCGGTGGAGAGCCTACGAGCAGTGACCAACCTCTTGGGATTCAGGGGAAGTCGGGAATGGAGGCCAGATTAAGAGTTCGCTCTCGACATCCGCAACAGGACAAGGCAGCTATGCATACGTTGATGGTCGGCCTCTGCCTCCTTTGTCAACGTGCTTCGTCGTGGGTACCAGAGCCCTCTGCGGTCTCGAGACCACGGTATGCGCGGAGGCCCAATGTTGGTGCCGGTGGCAGAACATGGCTAACCGCCTCTCCAGTCAATGATTCGGTGAGCGGCTTGGGGGCATGACACCACTATTGACCTACATTTCTACCTCATGTGTGGGCACGAGTCCTGTAGACTCATAAAACCAGCGGTGGAAACTTGCGTTGACAACCCGTCGTGGCGCGTACAGTCGACATGTACATGCAGTCTATACGAGAGATGCGGAGCTTCGAGTAAGAATTACTTGCTGCGTATCTTGGTGCTCTTTAGCCCCTTGCTACAACGAACCAACGAATGCTCCATGTCAACAAGGCACCTCGCCATCACTCTGCGGCTTGCCATGCAAAAACTGGTTGTATTTTTTTGCCAACTTGGAGAAATATTGTAAACTGCTGCTGCGGACTCCTGTTGCTCCTGTACAAAATAGGAATGTGGAGAAAGAGGACGACGTGGACTTCACGGCACGTGAGATACATGTAGATTAGACGCCGTGAGGGAGGGTCGACACACACACGGTCGTTCGAAATTCAAATTTGTGTTTTTTGGCAACAGGACCGCTCTACATATGCTACTCTGTCGGCTCTTTCCGGCGGAGTACCACATTCGACACACACGCCCGCGCGCACGCGACATGTACATCCGCGGGACAATGATGTCTGCACACATGCAGGGTTCATGCAGGAACACTACGCGCAACGCTGCGCGCCGAGGCACCTCTCGTATGGGATCACACACACAAACGCATCTGCGCGTTTTCATTGGTCAGCTGGTTAGCCCGGCCGATACTAAAACTATAGACATAACTAGACACAACAAACGGTGTGCGGAAGCCGACGCCAGAGTGTGCCTGCATGTGCGTGATACTTCCACAACAAATCCTAGGCACTGCTGTTGTTTGACGGTGAGCACTATTCCGCTGCCTTTAACCGAACACCTGTTTTATTTTGCCAAGTCGAAACTTGTCATGTCACCAGGCAGCATTCGCCCCTCAAAACGCGGAATTTCTACCCCAGATGCTCCAGGTCCCATGCCTAGCAACGTGGGGCGATATTGTCATATATTTTTTTCTGTGTGCAGAAGTCCATGTCCGGACGTTTCGAATTTTCCAGTAGAGCACCCGTAGCTTTCGAGCTTCAGAGATGGCACGATGTCTGCACCAAACGCGCTGAGGCCAGCCTACGGTACACATGATGATGAGCAACGACCAGTGCGGCATCATGGACCAACTCTCAACGCTTTTTATCAACATTGACAGCGTTGCAAATTGGGACCTCCCTGTTCTCTAACCCCCGTTGAAGATGAAACTCTCAATAACCAATTCCTAGTTACCTTGCTCGGAGGTCGGGTAGTCGCGCGTTCCCTGGACTGTCAAAAGCTTCGATTACCTCATGCCCCCGAGATCGACGCGTCTCTAAGGAATGATATCTCCAAGACACTGCTTTCACCCTCCAATCGCGCCATTTTTTTTTCGGTCTAACGGAGTGTGCGGTCGCTCGCGCTCTATTCGGAACTGTGGAGTACCACTGTACCCCATCGGTGGTAGTCTTCGCGGTTACCAGCCTGATGGTGGCCTGCAAGCAATCGTCCTGATGCAACCACGCACACCCAAGACATCTCTGACTCTCATCCGGCATGCACACAGAATGCGCGGTTTCATGCTTTGTGTACCCAACCTGCACCTTCCACTCGCAAGCTATGTCCTGGAAAATTCTGGCCGTTTTCAGGCACTCCCCTTCACCACCGTCACACTACGCCGCACCTCCGGGGTCCTCTCGCCCGCCCACTACTGCTTTTGATTCCTCAGCCCCGAATAGCAGACATGGCATGGCCTGCGCAAATGGTGGTTGAACCAGGAGACGAGATCTCGGGTCTGCCTGAAGAGGGGAACGGCCAACCGGCACCAATAGCCACCAGAGCAGGGCCGGCTTCTTCCCTGGAGAACCAGGAGGGCAGGGGGCAGCAGGGGTTCGAGGGTCCCGAGAAGACTCTTGAGATCGAGTTCGACCCGGACGTTGGGCACGAGGAAGGTGTCAGGGCCATCAGGAGGGAGCAGTGGGATGCCATACTGGAGCAGGTGCGCGCTCTGCAGCTTGGTGACTTTCTGGACGTGGGAGATTGAGGTTCCCACCTTCGAGGGTACTCGGTTCCAACCCAACGAGGATTGTAGGTGTTTTGAGAATGGGAAAAGTCCTAAATGAGACGAGGGTTTACGATCTCCGTAGAACGGCGTGCAGTACGCCGGCGATATCTGTCATAAATACGTGGCTACTATCCCCGTCCTGTCTGTTGCGGTGATACATGTGACTTTGTGCCGTACGTCATCCGCATCTTGATACTCGACACCCAGTTCCCCACAGCAGCAGCAGTCTACGAAAACGAGATGTACCGTAGGTGCCACAATTTTTTCGCGCACCCTGGACGCACCTCCTGGACCGATTTTCAAAGGTTTATTACGCCACGATGAATAGGATGTAGAATCAAACTACCATATATGTTATCGGAAAGCTCTTGACGAGATGGTTCCAACGCCGCCATTTTCGCCAACCCCAACATTTGCTGTGGGGAAATCGAGCTTTGAAAATCGCCTCAGGGGGTGCGATACCTTGTGTAACCTACCTCATGCATTTTACCCACGTGCAGATCCGGCCGCGCATTCGAAGTTGCCGGCTAAACTTGTTCACTCCCCCGAGCAAGTTGCGGCTTAGTCCGATTCAGATCTCTGCTCGCTATGATGTAGTATAATATTTTTTGTACCGTACATATGGTACATTTGGTGAGGAACTTGGTGCCACACGTGTTATGTATGTTTGTGAAATCGGTAAGTGTCTCCGACCTTCGTCAATCGATAGCTACAACTCCGCCGGTTTTGAGATTTGGAGCTCCAGTGAGGAGTATTAATGTCTCGGCGAGAGAGGTCAGTTTTTTTCGGTCCTCTATCAATAGTAACGTTTCGAAACGTTCTTATGTTTCCAGCATGCACCGTGATAGCACAACTGACATGTCGCCGTATTTTGCGGTACAATGCGGGCGTTTGGTCGACGCTGATATGTGTCGATCATACTAATTGCTCAGACTCATTTTGCTGCTGCTGTGAGCACAGGCGCAGTGCCACATCCTGCACCAGCGAGGAAACGACCACTTCGACTCGTACGTGCTGTCGGAGAGCAGTCTCTTCGTTTACAAGAGCAAGCTCGTGCTCAAGACCTGTGGCACCACCACCCTCCTCAGGTTGGTTGGTTGGTCGAGAGATGGCAGAACTGTAGGTACCCGTCAAGAGTTGCGAGGAAAATGTGTGTCTTCCTTCGAGAATTCTGGTGGTGTCGTTTCGTTCTAGGTGTTGTGCATGCGGAAGACAGCCTGAGGGCTTCTTGCGCAAAGCCGTACGTCAAAGGAATTCCAGATGTCCCATCTGCTTTCGTAGACCCATTCATCGCTGCGTGTGGTCGTGTCTTGCAAGACCCCAACGGCTCGAGTATGAGTTGGACGTTCTTGTTTCTGTGGCGTGGCTCCGCCATCTAGGTCGTGGATTTCTGTTGCTTCACGGCGTTGCTTCTCCTTCTCCTTCTCCTTGGCCTGCGATTTCTCGAAGAGATCGAAAACCGACTCGTGTTATAGGTTGACTGTGTAAGAGTTGAAGCGTCGGATCTAGGCAACCTGGATTCAAATAGCCTCCCATGTGTCTTGACGCGCGAGAGAGATGCAACAAGGATACGCTGCAAGATGTTATGTTTTACGGCTTCCAGTCCTGCCGCGATGACGTGGGCCACACTACACTCGCTTAGCCGAAGGACTCACTGCCCATGCACGTGCTGTATATGTATAGACTATACCCACTGGTTGTTGTCTTTCAGTTGCTCTCGACGCCGTTTCTTGGTAACTGTATCCGGTTCTCGTGTTTCGTCCTATTGGTTGGATTTTCCTTCTTCAACACGTGCTGTGTGGACTGTTTATGATTCTTTTCCATCGTTATCCCTCGCCCGTACCGCTTTTTTTTTTTTGCGCTTTTTGTGCTTCTTCTCGAATGCGGCGTCACCCAGGTGTCTACCGCTGCTGACGGTGGTATCGAAGAACTACGGGCTGAACCTGGAGTGGATAGGGTACTCGAGGAAGGACTTCACTTTTCCAACGGATCAGGTGCATTCGTAGGTTTTCCAACGGATCCGCGTTGTGATCTTTTGCTTGATATGGTGCTCCCGCCCGCCTGTAGGAACGACGAGGTTACGGTTGAATATGTTCCGTTGCACTGATTTTCTAGGTATGCTATTGTCGACCATTTTTTTTACGCGCAACCCTCCCGTGCCTATGTAATTGTCCCGTCCCGCCTATCTACCGATATACGCTTCGTCCGCACGCGAACTAGCAGATCTACCCGCACACGTCATTCGCGGAAGAGGTGGATTTCCTTCAGGGGATGTTCACGGGCTCTGCCTACGTGCACGGGCCTTTGAACAGCGACCACTGGTACACATACGTGGCCGACGACTGCAAGAAACCCGCCAATGCAGCTGCCGACAGGACCCTTAACATGATGATGTACGACCTGGAGCCGGAGGTGGCTCAAAACTTCTACAAGACGGACAAAGTGGGTAGTGGCCCGGCGTGTTGCTGCTGTTGTTGTCTTCGGTTTGGTTGGGCTTTGTATGTCATCATGGAGACAGCGACGACCTTCTCTCGTAAACGGCCCTGCAAGGAGACCTTTGATTCGCGGACTTAACCTTGTCTTGCCTTGCCTCGGCGTGACTCGACAGATCCAAACCGGCGAAGACGTGTCGTCGCGATCAGGAATAAAGAGCGTGCTGCCAAACGCAGCCTTGCAGGACCACCTCTTCGAGCCGTGCGGGTACAGCATGAACGCGCTCGAAGGCCAAGCTTACTACACCGTTCACGTGAGCTCAGCGGTTGGTTGGGCGTGAGGGTTTAGGGGTGGGGTGGCGGTCAACCTACTGGTGTGTTTATGATTGCGCCACGGCATGGAACCACCGTGGGACTGACTTGTTGCGGTGTGTACGCGCATGTCTTATGTCGGGGTTCCGGGCGCCTGGGCAAGTCAGCTTGTTATGCATTTGTTCAAGCATTGCGCGTACACGGGCTGCGGTTGAGAGGTGTATGATCCTAGTGCTGTGGTTGCTTTCGTTGGTCCGGTTGCGGTGTTTTGGTGCTGGTGCCGCATGTCGAGTCAAAGCCTCGACTACGATACCATCATGTCGTCAAACGTGGGCGATGGTTTTAGGTAAACTGGTCACGGTTATTCTTTGCGTGTTCCTCGTGTGTTTTCTTACCTGAGACCCTCGGGTGCGGCGATGTTTTCGAAGAGACCAAACGCTTGCAATTTTGAAACCAATCCCACGAGTCGCCGCAACTTTTTTCTTGGAAATGGACTGGTCAAGCACGAACGATTTGCGTCTCCGGTGGCGGCGTGTTTCGTCCTACGGAGACAGGGTAAAGGTGTTGGAGGTCGACATGACTGAAACGAGGTGCAGTGTGAGGTGCGCCCTCGCCGGCGCCGCCGCTGGTAGAACCCACCCACCCCCCCGCCCGTATAGTGTCTACCTGCCTGCGCGCCTGGCTGACTTGTTTGTTGCATCCCTTGTCCACCTTGCGTCACCTCGCTCTCTGGGCTCGGACCTAGCCTGACCAAAGCACCATGTCATGTACTTATTGTCAAAATCAACGTTTCGAAGGTGACGCCTGAGCCCGACTTCAGCTACGCCTCCTTCGAGACAAACGTGCGCTTGCCGGACTATGATGCGCTCGTGCGAGGGGTTTTGGAGGTGTTTCGACCAAGGAAGTTCACCATGACACTTTTCGGGGAAGATTCGGGGATAGAGGACATCAAACAGGTACACACGGCAGGTTTAGGGTCATAGCTCTAGGGCATTCGTAGTGCACAGGCTACGACTTGCAATCCTGGAGATAAGTCTCGTAGTAGCAAGGAGGGATTCGGGGGCGCTGTGGTTCCGCCCATCCCACACGCCCATGTATCAATATTCCCTGGCGTCTCCCCCTTTCCGTTTCCTTCCCTCGCACTTTGGAATGGCAGAGTCCGTTCGACTACTCGGATATCGCCTGCGGTCCCACAAGCGCTAGCTCCACCAGCGCGCGCTACGAGCGAACGCTCAAGACGACCACCAACTTCTCTGGAGACTACTTTAGTCAGATGGGGAACTGGGTGAGGGCACCGTCGGCGGCGGCGGCGGCGCCAACATGATCCCAGCCAGCTGTACGAGACGAGCCCGAGGCCTTTGGCGTTGGTATGAGCACGTAACTCTGTAGCCGGTAGTAACCACCTGCGGTCGTCTTGGATGTCAGAGACGGATAGGGGGATAGGGGGAAGCTTAACTCGCTCGTGTCCTACAAGGTAGGGATCCGAAGGGCGGTGCGATGACAAAATGTTTCCGTGTGGACAGCTTCGAAAAGGTTACCCGAGCCTAGGGGGTTCCGGTAGTTGATCCGACTGAAGGCCTTTCCCAAGCGGTACTCCGCACGCCTCAAAGTTGCGATGGCGTGAGGGGACGGGGTTGTGTCGTATCCCAGTTGTCCATTCGACCTAGATCGTCGTGTGCATGGGGTGAAGGGTGGCAATATTGCTTGGGGTAGGCCCTGCCTCGGTATACTAGCATACCTGTAGAGCCAACTGCCGTGTCTGTCTCAGTTTTGGAGGGGGAGAAAATCCCTCAAGAAGGCGTGCCCGTGTGCGGGGGACACGCATGACCGTTGTTTCATACGCACAGAATGCTTGTACACCCTGTAGTAGCGATGCCGAACGCCGGTAGTGCTGGTGGTGATGTCAAGGGCGACTTCTCTTGAGGTAGGGGACGCTTGCGACTTCGTTGCTGATGACTTGCTGGCCTCTTGAGTCTTCCGCCGCAAGGCTGGCTCTATAGGGAAGGCGTCTGGTGCGTATCGTCACGCATGGCGCCGTATGATGAATGTCTGGCCCGGTGGTGCCATGCAGTAAGCAACCTTTGCATGCCCGAAAATTTTGCGCGCCACGCGATTGCCTGTTGAAGGGTCGTGTGTGTGTGTGCTTGTTACTTTGTTTTGTTTCCATGTGCTTTGTTGCTCTTTTCTGCTGTGGCTGGTGCCGAAGGATGATTTGGGAAGTAATTTCGACTGGCCGTGTCGAGAGCGGGAAAGGACGCGGCACAAGCAGTCATTGTACAAAGACCTGGGTGACACCGGGTCGTTAGAAAAGCGCTCTAAAATAGCGCGTACTGCAGGTTGTCAGGCTGAGCTTCTGTGTCGACAACAATAGTAGCGTATCGTGGCTTGCTATGATCTAACGTGTTATGTTAGCGCGTGCCTTGTCTCCGTAGAGAAACTTGGCCTTGTCCTCCCTGAGTTGACGTAGGTAGTTGAATGGTCTAGGCGTAGCTTCACGGTCTGCACCTGCCGTTGTATCCTACTAGAGCCTCCTCACGAACTGGCCGTTCGTATTGATTTAGTCTAATAGAGTGTTTCCGTCGATGGGCCGGGTACGTCTGGCGTCGGGTATGACCACAAGACTTGGCGCTGAATATTTGACAGGCAGTAGAGACGAAAGGAAAAGCACAAGGTAAGTGGTGAACCGCGTGTGATGTTGGTTCCCCCAAGGAGGTAGTAGCCCTTCTTCACCCTCTCATTGAACCCGGCGACACCTCCAGCCTTGACTTACTGGTTCGTGTGCCAGTGCGTGGACATGTGCTACTTGTTCTTGCCGATTATCTCATGATCTAATGATCTATGAGTAGTAGTGCGGTGGTGATGTTACCATACCAATACGAAGAAGAGAGTTAAAGGCCACGCACACAGAGCACCACTCGAAATTATTGTGAAATTGAATCAGGCCTCTATGTAAAACCACTTCATTTGCAGAATGATAAGGCAGGAGACGAGCCGTGGAGACACCTCTTTTGCTTACCACAGGATGGTGGTGCAGAAGAAGCAGGGGGAGAGTATTGCGCGTGAGAGGCAGTTCATTATTGGATAGGGTACAGGCCTCCATCACCAACAGTATGGTGTGAGAAGATGCTGCAACTTATTTATTATGGCAGCCGGATGACTGTGTTCGAGTAGATCAATTATGCATCACCCAGGTGAGAGACTTTATTATTTGTAGTACACAGCAGTCAGGGATTCAATCTATTTTTTACTGCTGTGAAGTGGGAAAAAGTCTGGACCAGCCTACGTCATCTATCTCTGCTCTTTTGTGGTGTTGTACAGTTGGCGCCCGCAGTTAAGAAACGCTTAGTTCAGGTCCAGCCTCGGATTCTCGTTGTGGGCTATAAACTCAGCGTATGTCGTTCAGTTTCTCATTTCAAGTTTCTTATTTTTCGTGCAGCCAAGTCCTGCTGAATTTCTCAAATCGGCAATTTCTTATTTCTCTGCTTGAATACTAGACTACACAACGTTCCAAATAGTCTATACAAATGATTTGCACTGCTTTCCTCGACCCCGTACTCAACCCCGATTCTCACTACCGACGGCTGCACGTAAGGCCACCACTCCCTAGAAGCGAAATGTATCCAGCGGCAACGTCTCGCTATCGCTCCAAGGTCCTGTACCCCCCTCATGAGTGAGGGCTGTAACTAAACAAATGCATAAACATCGCATGATGCCTCACCCGCACGCTGACGTGCCAAGAACGAAAATTACCCCGTCATTATGTTGCAAGCTCCGTGAGGCGAACATTGGGGGTTGTCACCCTTTCGCGCCTCCCGCTCCCTTCCTTTGGGTCTACCTCTCTCCACGAGAACCCACGCCCCAATTGCGGCGTCTTCATCCGTGCTGTACGACTCCAACGGCATCTTCATGCTACGCGTGCTTTCGTCACAGTGCAGGATGACGCGGTAGTCGTAATCCTGCCGCGAAGCGGGGTGAGATCTAATCTGCGACTAATTACCCGAACCAACCCAACCCGAGTTTCACGAGAACTAATCATAATGCGCTATGGGAGGGGGGGGG